GAGCTGATCGAAGGTCATGTGACATAGAGAAACTGGTCCAATATATTCCATATGTTTCATTTTATGTGATACTATTATATTTGAATTATTAATTATGTCAACTTTACTAGTATTCACGTATTTTTCAAATAGTGAGCTTTATTGCAAAAAATTTAAAGAATTCGTGCGCGAATTCACAACAAAAATTAAATACTTTAATTTGACCTACGAACTCCAAAGTCCTTTATATCAAATGAGATGAAATACAAGATGATACACAAATACAGTGGCGGAGCCACTTAGGTCTAATCGTGTCAATAAATATCTCTTTGCCGGAAAATTACACTATATTGTTAGATAATTTTTTATGTGTTATGCATATGTACCATATGTTGAATACGCTTAATTTTTTCGTGTGTTTACTTCTTTATATTCAAACTTCTCTTAGTGAAAATTCTAGCTCTCTCGTACTTAGCACATGCCAATATTGTAATTCCCATAGTCGGGAGATGCATAATTCTCTTTGTCTAAGTAAAATTAATTAGTAGTTGAAAACACTCTCTATCTCTCTCGCTCTCTCACTTTGTTTTTGTGGAATATGCCATGGAATTTCAGTAAAACATTAAATCAATTAAAAGAAAAGATCATAAGCAGCAGCATATTGTTGCTGCCTTCGCTTTCATAAGTAGCCTGTCTCTTCGCCACATGAAAATCTGTACACATAAGTCTTAAAAATCTGTCTCTCCATCAAAATCAATCTATGTTGCTACTTTTGTGATATCAAGTCTTGAAAGGGTAGTATGGTTTTAAGGTGCAATTTTCAGAAGGAATATGTTCACGAGAGATACATTTGAAGAGAAATATTGTGGACATGTCGACATTATTCCTTTGCGAGCAGTGGCAGAGCTAGAGAAGTAAATGCGGTGTTACGATTCAATTTAGGATCATGACCGGCGCTTAGGAGCAAGTGCTTCCAAGTAAGTCTCATTGGTATTTTAACGAAAATCGGACAAAGTATTCACTGTTTTGGACTATCCAAAAAAAATTCCCTGTCTCATAATCAATAACCAACCATCCTAATATCAAACCAAACAATTAACGATTTATCAATTAGCCAAAACAAGTCTCCACCATTACTAATCAACCCACTAACAACCAAAAATACTAATTTATCTCCACTTTCGATAATAAAGAACGATATTCAACATAAGACTATAATAACAAAAGAATACTCATGACACAAAAATAATTACTATTGAGCGACTCTAAGAGTTCAAAGAAAAGACCATAACAATAAATAAAATCTCCGCCCACGCGAACAAGTGCGAGGCTCACCAAGAACTATCAACCTGTGCGCTCTAATTAATGAAATCCTCGCCCGCGTCAACTGCTGTCTCTGTAAAAAAAATTAATGGGGAATGAGTCGCTAGCTCAGTGAGTAATAACACTTAACCACAACTGTTTTTATTGGGGACAAGTCAGAAAACATGCTAGTATATCAAACAGAAATAACATAAAAATGCTCTTTCAGAAATAATAAATAATTTTCAGTCTCATCATGTTTTTCTTGTAGCATAATACAATTAACAATTCAGTAATAAGCTCGGTAACCACTGTATAATATCAATATTTATATTTTGGGAGGTTTCAATGAACGGATCATATAATCGGTATAACTGTGGACTACTTCGCAAGAAGTCAAATATAACGGTAGTACCTACTCGGGAAAAATCGGTAACGGTATGCTAGTTCTACCTTCCCACTGCAAGGGCTATAACGGTAATCGGTAATTACAAGGTGCACCAGGTCTAAAGAACCCGCCGTTAGCTATGAGATCCTTCAAAGTCTACTCTCATTTATACTTGTCTCTGTAATCCGTATATACTCACAGAAAAATATTTTCAAATAATTAGGGCATTTCGATTCATATCAAATCATATAATTTCATTACAATAATAGTAATTCAAGTAACGGTAAAACAGATCTAGTGACAACGAAAATATTTAAAACCACGATAATCATCTCAAATAACTATTTCGGTATCATATTGAGTAAAAGGCTTGTCCCACATGCAACTTAAAATAATCGGTAACATATTCATATTAAGAATCATGTGTAAATCATGCAAGTTATGAAAACACAAATTGCGGTAAGATTCCTACTCACAGTACTCGTGCCAATTATTGAACTTGTCACTTGCGAGCACTTGGTTCAACTTCTTCAACCACCTATTTTATTACAAAACCAATCTATCTATCAACTTCTAGAACTAGCAACGTAATTGGTCCAACCCTGTCACCTTTATTTAGTTTTCCTGTTTAATTTCTCTAGAATATGAATATTGATTATCTGTTATTCATTTAAGTAGTACTTGTCACATCTTCTTTTTTACCACCCGAGGGGGATATAAGGGAGTTTTTTTCAATTTAAGTGACAATCGAAACGGGATTATTTATTTAAAATTGAGAGTCGCTACTTGGGATAATTTATGGTGTCCCAAGTCACCGGTTCAAGTCCCGAATCGAGGAAAGATTGACTCTGTTTTACAGTCCGCGAGCACAAAAATCCGGGTAAGGAATTCTGTTAACCCGGGAGAAGGTGTTAAGCATTCCCGGGTTTCGTGGTTTTAGCACGGTCGCTCATCTATTATTATTGGCCTAATTATCTGATTTTAAAACACTTTTAAACCTATGTGCATTTTTAACTCTTTAAATCACTTTTATTTATTCAAGGAATTTCAAGGTTATTTAAAACACATCGTAAGCCATGAAATGCACCTGTGAGTCACGACACGTTCTATTTAACCTTGTTAGAACATTAAAACCGGGCCACATGAAATGTACCCCCAGATTTGGAAATTGTGTGGCACAACTACGTCACGGAAACTGTACCCGTAACTATGGCACTTTATTTAATTAACACGCCTAAAGCAAACTACGATGTTCAAAAGTCGTTTCACACTCATCTCAATCTCAAATATGGTAATTGGCACCATTAAAAAAACGTGAAGCTTATTTGTTGTGTTTCCTTAAGTTTGGTCTACATTATAGACTTAGAAAGCTCACTGTAACTGTGATACAAACATATGAACATAAATGAGCCCATCCTTGGTTACAATCACAAACTAATACCACTTAAATAGGTATCTCATTGATTTAATCATATTTAAGTCTTAATTCAAATTAACAAGCAATTAAATCTCTACAAACCTTCTCAAGTAAAGTTTTTCTTCAATTTCTTTCTCTATCCCATATAGACGATAATCATATGGACACTTACTAATATAATAGTCCAAGAAGAAGAATCCACAAACAAAACAGAGGATATTCAATACAAATCAACAATATATCAACAAACAATTCACCAGTAGCGCAACGAAAAAATTAAAAGAAAAGCCTGCCACTTTCAAATTCAAATACTACAATAACTCAATGAATACTAATAGAAACATGAGAACATTTATGGATCAAAAGACACATGGAACAAAATATTCATTAACTAGTTAGAATCTAAAAGAAAAGACACAGAGAAATGGACCTTTATTGCTGAATGTTTTGCGCCATGTACAGTGAAATAAGATCTCTAAAATAGCAAATCGAAGCTAACGAACTACTGACCCAAACCTCGACCCGGAAAACTCGAACGCTCCCTCACTTTAGCATGATTTAGGGACTGATCTTGCACTTATTTTTCGTTCACCGTTTTCCAGCTTCTATTTCCGTTCCTTTGTGTATCTTTGTGTATGTCTCTTTAATTTTAGAGAAAGAGATGGTTGAAATCTGTTTAAGGGAAGTGGGGATCCTCTGCCGCTTTGGAATTTTTGTTGAAGGAATCAAAAATTGTCCCAGAGTCTTTTCCAAAGAGAGAGATGATGTCGTTCTTCACTTATTTAGGAATTAGGAATTGAATTCCATTTTCATCTAAAAAATCGTTTTCTTTTGTGAACCATCAGGAAATTCCCCCGTTCTAGGGGTGTAGGTTCTAGGTATTTGTAGGATTTTCTAGGTTAAGGGGTATGGACCTAGGAATTATGAGCTTGGAAATTATGGACCTTTATGACTAGTTTTGCTTAAAATTAGTTTAATAAACTAAAAATCTATTCATATAGAAATATTACCAAAAAATTTAATTAACCCTACTTAAGTAAAAATAATTATTAAAATAAGACTGACAATTAAAACAAAATTATTTTTGGGTATTTTTCAAGATTAAAAATGACTACAAAACATTAACGAAACTATTTTTTTTTAATTTTCGTTTTCTTGTAATAAAATAAAGTAAAAAAAGTAAAACTTAGTGAATATCAGACATAAATTAAATATTTAGGTGCTAAAATATGAAAAATCTTGCGAAGGGTCAAAAATCGCATGTCTACATTACTTAAAGGATAGGAAACTAGTTTATATTTTCCTCGTCTGTCGCTATAAGTAGGCAAAAAAAAGTTTGTGTTTCTTGGAAAATCCATATTTTTGTTCGATATCACGTAGTGCTTTGCAAGCACTCACAATCTCTCCAATAGAGTATCTAACAGGATATTGTGTAATTACTTAGAATGAAGGAATTGATCTTGCTCATGAGTATTCTTGTATCCAATTCAATTAAAAATCAACTCACTATTTAACTCAATCCAGGACAAATAAAATATACTCATGCCAATGGGATAACAAAATATACCTGATGATCTTAAATACAGTAGTTAGGAACAACAATATTGTAGCATCAGGTTGCTAGCCTATTTCCTCTTCTTCTTCTCTTCTTCTTTTTTTCCTTCTCTGTGGTTTTTCTTCTTCTTTTACGCAGCTTTTTTCCCTTCCCCCAATCCCTTTTTGCTTTTGACTTTGGTATAATGTAACCTAATGGGTTTCGGCCCTTATATGTCCATTCTCTTTTTTGTTTTGTTTTGTTTTGTTTTGTTTTGTTTTGTTAGTTTTTAAATTATTTGCAAAATATTCAATATATCCTCATATAAAATTATGGGTTATTACAACCTCCCCCACCTTCTAAAAATTCGGTCCCTGAATTTAGCTCAGGCATATACCTGTAGGCTGAAACAAATGGGGGTGCTTCGCTTGCATATCTTTTTCTATTTCCCAAGTAGCTTCTTCAACTGTGTGATATCGCCGTAAGACTTTTACGAACTCAATTTCTTTTGACCGTAGCTTTCTTACATGCCTATCAACAATAGTCATCAGTTCCTCCTCGTAAGACAACTTCTCATCAAGCGGTATAGTAGGTGCTTCAAGCACCTGAGATGAGTCTGATATACATTTCCTTAGCATTGAGACATGAAACAATGGATGAATAGAGGACAATTCAAGAGGAAGTGTCAAACGATAAACCACAACTCCCACTCGATCTAGTATTTCATATGATCCTATAAACCTGAGGCTCAACTTGCCTCTTTTCCTAAACTGCATCACACCTTTCATAGGGGAGTCTCTTATAAACCTAAGGCTCAACTTGCCTCTTTTCCTAAACCGCACCACACCTTTCATAGGGGAGACTCGTAGGAACACTTTGTCCCCAATTGTGAACACTAAATCTCTTCTTCTCTTATTAGCATAAGACTTTTGTCTACTTTGAGCTGCAAGAAATCCCTGTCTGATCAATTGGACCTTGTCCATAGCTTCTTGTACTAGGTCGAGTCCCAATAAGTTAGTCTCACCAGCTTTAAACCATCTGATAGGAGAACAATATCTTCTACCATACAATGCTTCGTACGGTGCCATTTAAATACTGGACTGGAAGCTATTGTTGTAAGCAAATTCAGCTAAAGCTATATAAGCGTCCCAACTACCTCCAAACTCAAGAATGCAAGCTCTCAACATATCCTCAAAATCTGTATAGTATGTTCAGACTAACCGTCTGTCCGTGGATGAAATGTTGTACTAAGATCTACTCGTGTACCCAATGCTTCTTGAAAAGATTTCCAAAAGCGTGAAGTGAACTGTGATCCTTTATCAGAGATGATGGATACTGGAACTCCGTAAAGTTGGACAATTTCGTTCATAAATATCTGTGCATACTTCACTCCACCATATGTCGTCTTCACTGGCAAAAAGTGTGCTGATTTCGTCAATCGATCTACAATCACCCATACAGAGTCATAACCTCTAAGGGTTCATGGTAGCCAGGTGATAAAATCCATATTAATTCTTTTCCATTTCCACTTTGGAATTTCAATTTGTTGTAGTAGTCCTGCGGGTCGCTGATGCTCAGCCTTGACCTGCTGATAAGTCAAATAACTAGAAACAAAGTTAGAAATATCTTTCTTCATACCTTCCCACCAATAGAATTGCTTTAGGTCATGATACATTTTTGTGGATCCAGGATGTATAATGTATCTAGTGTTGTGAGCTTCTTTAAGAATAACATGCCTCAACCCATCTACATCTGCGACACATAGCCTATCACTCATTCGAAGAACACCATCACTGTCAACAATCATATCCTTGCTTTTACCAACTAAGGCCTCATCTATGTATTTGCAACATCGCTCATCCTCATATTCGGTGGCCTTAATGTGCTCAACTAATGAAGACTTAGCTTGAGCACAAGGCAACAATGCCTCTGAATTTCTGACACTAAATTTGATACCTGTATCTTCTAGTCTCTGAATATGTTTGGCCAAAAGTCTTTTTACAGGAACTATACGTGCCAAACTCCCCATAGATTTTATGCTCAATGCATCAGCTACCATATTGGCTTTTCCACGATGATATAAAATAGAACAATCATAGTTTTTGAGTAGTTCCATCCAACGACGCTGCCGAAGATATAGATCTCTATGTTGAAAGATATACCTCAGACTTTTATGGTCAGTATAAATCTCATAAGTTTCTCTGTATAAATAATGTCTCCAAATTTTTAGATCAAACACCACTGCAGCCATCTCCAAATCATGTGTAGGATAATTTTGCTCGTGCTTTTTCAATTATCTCAAAGTATAAGAAATAACGCGACTATTTTGCATGAGAACACATCCTAATCCTACTCTCGAGGCGTCACAAAACACCGTAAATCCTCTGAAACCTGATGGTAAGGCTAACATTGGTGTAGTTGTCAAACATGTTTTGAGTTTTTGAAAGCTCTACTCACATTCCTCCGTCCACTAAAACTTTGCATTTTTTTTTGTGTTAGCTTAGTCAGTGGCGCTGCTATTCTGGAGACGACCTGCACAAAATGCCTATAATAGCCTGCTAAGCCTAAAAAACTGTGAATCTCTATAGGAGAAGTTTGCTTGGTCCATTTCTGCATAGCTTCTGTCTTCTTAGGATCTACCATAATTCCATCTTTGGATACAACATGCCCCAGAAATGCTACCGAGTCTAGCCAGAATTCACACTTCGTGAACTTAGCATAAATCTGACATTATCGCAATGTCTTCAACACAGTCCCGAGATGATCATGTTCTCCTTGGCTACGAGAATATATCAAGATATCATCAATAAATACTATTACAAATCTATCCAAAAACGGCTTGAACACCCTATTCATTAAATCCATGAATGCCACTGGAGCATTAGTCAGTCCAAAAGGCATCACAAGAAAGTCATAGTGCCCGTATCGAGTTCCGAAAGCAGTTTTAGAAATATCTTCATCTTTGATTCTAAGTTGATGATAACTAGAACGGAGGTCAATCTTTGAAAAGTGGGCAGCTCCTTATAACTGATCAAACATGTCATCTATACGAGGCAAAGGATATTTATTGTGTATTGTTATCTTGTTCAACTGCCTGTAGTCAATGCACATTCTCAGGGATCCGTCTTTCTTCTTTACGAATAGTACTGGTGCACCCCATGGAGATATACTTGGTCTGATAAAACCCTTATATAACAAATCCTGTAGTTGTTGTTTTAGCTCCTTAAACCCTGCTGGTGCCATCCGATATAGCGGTATTGATATGGGCTGTGTGTCAGGTAACAAATCAATACCAAAGTCTATTTCTCGTACTGGAGGCAATCCTAGTAAATCCTCAGGAAATACATCAGAAAAATCTCTTACTACTGGTACATTTTCTATACTAACTTTTTCCTTTCTTGTGTCATTTACAATAGCTAAGAGACTCAAGCAACCTTTCTTCAGAAGTCGTTGAGCTTTCATAAAAGATACAACTTTGCAAATATCTCGAACATGACTCCCTCTTAGAATAAAGCTGGGTTTATTTGGTATCTCAAACTTAACTATCTTTGCATGAATATTGACTATAGCATAGCAAGAAGATAACCAATCCATTCCCATCAGTATTTCAAAGTCAATCATATCAAGTACAATAAGTTCAGCTAGAGTATCTCTACCCTCAACCCGAATTTGACAAGCACGATACACGTATTCAGCTAATAGAGACTCTCCAACAGGAGTAGCAACTAGAAAAGGATTATTGAATAGCTCAGGTTGTCTACTAAACCTCAAAGAAAAGTACGAGGATACATAGGAGTGAGTAGATCCCGGATCAATCAACGCAAGTGCATCAAATGAACAAACATAAAGAATACCTGTAACCACAACATTCGAGGCCTGAGCACCTTGTCTAGTAAATGCAAATACTCTCGCCTAACCTCTACTAGCATTCAATTGTCCTTGATTCACATTAGCACGGTCTCCAACACCTCGACCTCTATTTCATGGACCTGTAGCACCTAAAGTATTACAAGTAGTTGAGTTAGTGCAGCTGACTGAATAGAAGCCTGGTTGAAATTTCTCGGAGGCTGAGGGCAATCACTCAAGTGATGGCCCAACTGGCCACACCGAAAGCACTCTCCAGTTAGAACATGACATTGGCAGACTGGAGTAGTACCATATATCTGCCCAGAATTATGATGTCCGGATGTTGACGGTCCCCTAGTACCTTGTCTATAATGTGGTCTATATGTAAATTGTGAAGACAAATGTGTCCCTATCTGAGAACCCTATTGTTGTTGTCCCTGATTTCCTGCATATGGCCGACCGAACCCGAATCACCTAGCATTTTGTCGGCCCATCATTAGTGATATACGAAACAATAATCATCGCTTCGCCATGACCAATCCTCAGTTTTTGGCGATATAGGGCCATAAAACAAGAATTCTGCGCGATTCTCAGATTTTCTTGTGCTATAGCCCATGTCGTTTGCATGCATCCAGGCGACCGGACCCATATCGCCTAAAATTTTATCTGTCCATGAAAAACTACATAAGGAATAATAGTCATCGCTTCACCATGACCGTTCCTTATTTTTTGATGTTTTACGGCTATAAAATAGGAATTCTGTTTGATTCTCAGATTTTCATGTGTTGTAAGCCCACGACATTTGCATGCATCCGGGCGACCAGACGCGAATCGCTTAAATTTTGCTGGCCCGTCAAAAGCTACATAAGTAACAATAGTCATTGGTTCATCATGACCGTTCCTTTTTTTTGATATTTTAGGATCATAAAACAGGAATTCCGTCCAATTTTCAGATTTTGTGTGCTACAGCCTACTGCCATTTGCATACATCCGAGCGACCGGATCTGAATCGCCTAAAATTTTTCTGCTTATAAAAAATTACCTTAGGAATAATAGTCATCGCTTCGCCATTATTATTCCTCGATTTTGGCATTTCAGGGCCATCATACAAGAATTCTGTTTGATTCCCAGATTTTTGTGTGCTATTGCCTACGCCAACAGTATGCATCCGTGCAACTAAACTCGAATCACCTAAAATCTTGTCGAATAATAAAAAATGACCTAAGGAACAATAGCCATGACCGTTCCTCGCTTTTCAACATTTTAGGGCCATAGAACAGGAATTTAAGACGTTTTCCGAATTTTCGTGTGCTGCAGTCCACGCCATTTGCATAAACTCGGGCAACTGGCGCCGAATTGCCTAAAATTTTGCGGGCTCATAAGAAATCACGTAATGAAGAATAGTCATTGCTTCGCCTTGATCGTTCCTTGTTTTTTTTAGCGTTTTAAGGCCATAAACGAGAATTCATGACGATTTTCGAATTATCGCCTAAATTTTTTCGAGCCTATCAAAAACAAACTAATGAAGAATAGTCATTGCTTCGTCATGACCGTTCCTCTTTTTTTTTTGGCTTTTTAGGGTCATAAAATAGGAATTCAGGACGATTTTCGAATTTTTGTTGCAATAGTTTATGCCATCTACATGAGTTGGGCGACTGACTCCGAATCACCTAAACTTTCGCGGGTCCATCAAATACGACATAATGAAGAATATTCATCGCTTTGCCATGACCATTCCTCGTTTTTGGCATTTTAGGGCCATAAAATAGGAATTCTGGACGACTTCCGATTTTTCGTGTGCTATAGTCTATGGCATTTGCATGAACTCGGGCTACCGGCTCCGAATTGCCTAAAATTTTATGGGCCCATCAAAAATGGTCTAATAACAATAGCCATCACTTCGCCATGATCGTTCCTCGATTTAGGGCCATAAAACAGGAATTCAGTATAATTTTTGATTTTTTTGTGATATAGTCTACGTCATCTCCAAGAATTCGGGCGACTGGTTCTGAATAAGCCGACTTAATGAATAATAGTCATCGCTTCACCGTGATGGTTCCTCGTTTTTGACATTTTAAGGCCATAAAACAGGAATTCAACACGATTTTCGATTTTTCGTATGCTATAGTCCACACCA